GTAGCCTCCTAATTAAGATTTAAATCTAAGTCCTTACTATAATTAAATTCCTACTTATTAATGCCTTGACTGTTCATCAGAATATTCTTTGTGGTATGTGTTAATAACCAAATTTAAAAATAATATTTATTTTAAAATTATTTAAATAGGTAGCAGAGCCAATCCTAATATAAAACATGCTAGAATTACATTTTATAGCTAGATCAAAATTTACAAGTAGTATTTTCAAAATATTAGGCAATAAACTTCCTTGTATAATCAACACCAGGCTCATATAGCATTACTCAGTATTAGTCTGTGCTATGTAAATATAAAAAACTAATAAAATACTAATATCTTTTAAATAATAGGTCCAGAAGGATGCTTTTCATGTATTCAAGAATCTAATTCAAAAGCAACTTGTATCAAATGCTAACTTTAGTATGTTTAAAATGGAGATATTTGTGAAAAATGCCCTTATAATTGTAATAAATGTTAATATGCAGTAATTATAAATGGAAATGCTGTTTTTAAAAGCTAAATAAACGTTAATCAAATCAATGGAATTTAATTTAAAAAAATATGCATAGAATGTAAACCTCAATACCTTCTTTCATATGATCTATAATCATGTGTTTAGTGTGGTTTCAATTGTGATAAATGCTAATATGGTAATATTTATTTAAATTATAGAAATTAAATAAAATGCTAAATATTTTGTAAAACTTCCAAAAAATATTATTACTTTTGCTATATTTTTTAGCAAAGATAAATTTTTTTTAATTTTCTAAAATCTTTAAAATTTTTATTTGATTCGACTTTCTAAAAGATCTAAAATATATTAAATAATTAATTATATTATAAATTAATTTATTTAAAAATAATTTAATAATATGTGAAAATCAATTTTCTCAAAAAATAGAAAATTAAGATGAGGTTCTAAATAATAATATAGATTAACTATCTGCTTTATCATATTACTAGTTTCTAACAAAAAATTACATAAAAAAGTGTATATAATGCCCTAATGGATACTTTGTTTCTTTTGATGGTAAATTTTATTTTAAATATTTTGTATAAAGTTTATTTAAATCATTTAGGTCAGTCTTGTGTGTAATAAACACTAAATTGCGATTATAACAGTTTTAAAATAGTATAGGGTACACAGACTTATGATTTAACAGAAAATATTTGGTCATTTGTAGATAGTTTATATCAAAATATAAGTATTAGCAAAATTTGTAAAAGCTGTTCTTATGGGTACATATTAGCAAGTGATTAAAGTAAATGTGAATATGGATGTTAATCTCAATCTCAGCAATCAATATGCAATAATTGTTTTACTACTTTATCCTTTAAAGTTTAATGTTAGTTTTGTAGTAATGGATAAATATTAAACTAAGTTGTGGATCCCCCAAAATGTTAAGATGATTTTTGTAAAAACCATGTAGATTAATTTGTTAAAATTTAAAATAATTTTTCATACTTTATTTATAAATTAAGATTTTTGGATGCTCAGAGTGCTATAAATATTTAGACTTGAGTTAAAATTTAAACAATTAAGTTTTTTAATGTACTAAATGCTAAGATGAACTAAGTATTCCATCTATCTATGGATGCATTAAATGCCCATAAGGATGCTCCAGATGCTATGAAGGTTAATTATTAAATATATATTGATTAAATATAATTTTTATTATAATTTATAAACAAGGTACAAGTACATTTAACTTCACATCATAATTAATATATAAAAGAGAATCCATCACTATATAAGATAGATTAGATTATAAGAATAAAAACTATAAACTAATATGTACAGAATGTTAAGATGGGTATTACTTTGATTAATAATTCAAATAATGTATTCTAATATAATGTGGATAAAACTGCCAAAAATGTATCATAATAAATAAATAACCTTAATGCATTTAGTGCAACTATGATAAATTAATTAATTAAATTACTTCATTGTAGTATTTTATTGGTAAGTTCTATTATAAATAAAATTAAATAAATAATCCAAAATAAATGATAACATTAACTTCTTCTGGTGATGATTGCTAAATTTGTCCATTACTGTAATTTTATAATTTTATATTTATTAAATTGATGATTATTTTAATTAAAGTTGCGAAACATGTGAAAACAAAAGCAATGTCAGTTAGAATCCTTTATATATATATGATGCTTAATGCTTATCATGCAAAAAAACTTTAGATAAAAGCCTTTTATTATAGAATTATAGTATAACTTACGATAAATCAAGAAGGAAATGCTACTTATGCTAAAAATCAGAATAGGGCTGCTACTATAAGAAGTAAAAAATAATTTATGCATAATGCTTAGATCTAAATAGCAGATTAGGTGATGGCTCATAAAAAGAACCAATTAACTTCAATCGTTTAAATGAAGTTAATTTAAACTAATTTATCATAAATGAGCTAGATTTTGATCAAGCAGTAGTTTTTTATAACGAATTATAAGTAAAAGAGTTGGAGGTTTTGTTAATATTTGTTGATAACATTTGCTAAGATCTAAAACCTCAAAACTTTACAATTACTTTAAAGGAGAAATTTAGAACTCTTTCAGCTATCCTAAACATAACAACACTTTACTCGAATTTTACTGTCGATTTCTAGCAATAAGATGTTTTTATTGTATAAGGCTTTGACAAAATTTTCATTTAAAATGTAATTTTCTAACAGCAAAAAAGTGATAATAAATTTGGAATAAGTATTAAAGATGATTCTTTAAATAATTTTTAACTTATAAACTGTTAATTCCATCAGTAAGAAATAATACAAAATAAACGTTTATTATTTTTGGATATTTCATCCATTTAGTAAACAAACATAACATTAGAATAAGTTAATTTTTAAAATATTTTGGTGTTAGATCAGAAGCCTCTAATAAATATTCTTAACTCTTAATAAAATTCTTAATTATATCTTAGGATAATCTCAGCTACTTTACTTAATGTAAATTTTCATTTTAAACTAATTCATTTTTTTAATTTTATAAAATTTTTAAAAGAAGAAAACAATAAAAAAATTTTTTATATCTCTTCACCAAACACCCCCTCTCTTAAACTATTTATATAATATTATTTAAAAAAGATTTTTTTATTGGTAATTAAAAATTTATTTAATTTAAAATTTTTAGGTTTAATTTAATTAGGCAAATCTAATTTAAATAAATATGTAATCTACAAAAGTTGAAATATAAAATTTACTAATTAAATCTTCAGTTTTTGATTAATAAACACTCTTTGTAGATGTTCGACAAAATAATTCACCAAATCAAAATATAAGTATTTATTTTCAAAATATTACTTTTGAGAATAGCTCCTTTTACCATAGATCTTAGATTCTGAATTCAAATATCTTAAATTCTTTAACAATTACTAGCTTAACCTTCAACTAATGTACATTTTATTAATCACAAAAAGAGCTTGTACCTTTAATTATATCTAATTACTTTAATGTAAGTAACATTTGTATAATGTCAAATAAAGTGACTAACTACAACTTTATGCAGTAGTAAGATAGTAGATTGAATATTACAAATTAAAATTCTTATTTTGAATAGATTCAAGTTTTAAATAATATTGTGACAATTGATAGCTATTTTTTATTAGATTTTTAGACTGATAAAAACTCTAATATAACTTTAAATGGAATAATAATTAAAAGAAATCAATTTTATTCTGAGTTAACTTCAATTATAATTCAACTTGCAAAATTAAATACAATTTAAGTAAATAATATTTCTTTAGCAGATAATCAAGAATTTTTATTCCTTTAAACTGAAAATATTTTTAACGTCACAATTGGTTAAATAAATTTATAATAAACTGACTAATAATTTTTGACCCCTTAAATTTGCTACTTAAAATAAACTATCTAGTAAATAAAGATTAATGACATAGTCTAATAAGGTATAAGCATATCAAAAGAATTATTTATCTTTGAAAATAATATAATTTAATAGCAAATTACTCCTCTTGAAATTGTTATAATGAATGTTATAAGCAATTAAATAACTTTAGTATTCAAAGATAATAAAGAAGATATTTCTATTTTTTCTATAATTTCTAAGTTAATCAGCAACATATAAATTCAAAATGTATAGTTTTCTGGGTTTTAAGATGATATTTTGAATAAAAAAGTAATCATTTTGGATATAATAAATTTTATATTTAAATATTTTTTTGTAAATAGTCTATTTTAGGGAAAGTATCCTAAGGTTTTTACTTTAATGCTCCTACTGTAGCTGTGGACCTTTATAATTCTAGTTTTAATGAAATAGATGTTTAAAGTTAATTTGGTTGGATAAATGGATAAATTCTTTCAATAGATATAAGACATTGTAACTTTACTAATTAATAGAGTTATCTTAACATAGAAACTAGTAGAGAAGGTGGGTTTCTTAATGTTATAAGTTAAGTACTTCATATCTATAAGTCTAAATTTATTAATGGCAATGCATTAATTGGTGGAGCAGTTTATTGGACAGCATAGAATAAAGGTAGTTTTTCATCAATAGAGAGCGAATATTTAAGCAACGTAGCTTTTAGTAGTGATGACTTAGAGACTCAAGGTGGAGCAATATTTGTTAATGGGAGATTATCTTAAGGTTTTGATGGATATATATACAAATCTAATTTTTCTAATAACTTTGCATTTAACCAAGGAGGGGCTATATTGATCTAACCTTCTGCTTATTTTAAAAATACCATAACAATTAAAATGAGTCATTTTATTAATAACTTCTCTCTATGCAGAGGTAGTAATATTAACATACAAAATTAATCTAATTCTAAATCTTATATAACATTGAGTAGTTTAGTTATTACAAGTTAGATTAAATACTTTATAGAAGTAATTGAGATCCTTTAAAACATTATTCGTAAATAAGCTTGGTTATAAATTTAATCAGTTGATTCTTCATTAATTAATATACAAAAAGCTCATAATATTGAAATCATAAGTTCCACATTTTAGTTATCAACGGGCACATCATATGATTTCTAAAATTCTGAGTTTCTGAAATTTATTTTTTAATAAATTTTGATAATTTAAGAAGCTATTAACTTTTATGATGTTTAAAATATTTATTAGAATAGCTATTTTTTAAGTAATATGATTACAGCTACAGGTATAGAGCATTTTTATATCTATGATACGTTAATTTAAAACAATAGAAATATCTTAGATTATATGCATAATTAAAGATAAGATGCATAAAGTGCAGTATTTTATAATAGCTAGAGCAGCTACATTTATAAATTAAACGTAACTAATAACATATGTTAATATTGCGTTTTTGGGACAATTTAAATAGCAAGTTCAAAATTTCAAATCTTAAATTCTACTTTTTATAATAATATAGCATATAATGGACCAGGATTATATTTAGAATAAGCTTAATTTTACTTTACAAACTCAATTAATGCATAATAAGTGTTTTTAGATACCTTAATAATCATTAATTCTGCATTCATTAATAATTAAGCTAACTTAAACGGAGGAGCGATATACCTAAAATAATCTAGTATGTTTATTTATGAAACTATCTTTGAATAAAATAAAGCAAGCTAATATGGTGGAGCTATTTTTTTAGAAAATACATAAAAGAATATTTTAATAAATTTAATTAATTTAAGTAACTGCACATTTACTTAAAACTAAGCAAGCTTTGGAGGAGCATTAGGGTCAACTACAGGATAAAGAGTGAATAGATTTTCAAATAACACATATTAAAAAAATAAGGCATCTTAATATGGTGACAACATTTAAACTTCGCCAACAAAATTTAGTGCTTCTATAAATGGAAAGTCTTTATCAGACTCAAATATATTATAAATATAAAATCATTTTGGGGGGTATCTTCAGGTAAAAACTTTTCATTGCAATTTAAGTTCATTTATCAAAAAATGTTAAATATAAATTAAATTAATTTTTTATAAATATTTTACCTTCTTTAATAAAATATTTTTAATATATAAAGGAAGATATAATTTTAAGATTGTGTAGTGATTAAAATTAAGAAATTTTGAATATTCCTAAATATAGCTTTCTTTAAATAACCATTTTAGAAGGAAATGGTTACTTAAGTTCAAATAAAATTTATAGTTAAAATGGTGAATTTAATTTAACTCAGTAAATTAAAATTTATGGAAACTTTAATTAATAACTTAAACTCTAAATTACAAGCGATTTAATTCAAATTCCCATATACAATTCAAGCTAATACATAATTGGTTATAGTAATTATTCGTTAATTATTGTTATAGATATGGCTCAAAATTGCTTAATCGGTTAGATACCTATAAAATTTTAATAAAAATATGATTAATGTTAAGACTGTAAAGATACTAAATATAGCTTTAGTATAGCAAATTAATGTTAATCTTGCCCTCATCCGTCAGTTAAATGTTATAGAGATATGATCTTTTTACCTTCAAATCTATGGAGAGTTAATCAATAATCAATAGTTTTATACCCATGTAAAAATTGTGTAGGTGACATTGAAATAAGTTAAATAAAATAAACTGGCTAACTTTCACGCTAACTTTCACCTAAGCACAATGATATGAATTACTATTGCAAATAAGGTAATTTTTTCACTTTTTAACTTATTGTTATTTTTGTATATAAATTAGGATATGTAGGAGCACTTTGTGAAGATTGTGATAGAAGTGGAGAATATTGGGGTGAAGCTTATTACATGAAATTAGACTAAAAATGTTCAAGGTAATTATTTTTATGAATGTTTTCATTTTTAACAAAACCTGTTTTAAATTTTAATAGATGCAATGACATAAAATTTACTGAAATCATTTATCCTTTGATAATATCAATCCTGGCATTCATTATATCAATCTATTTATCTTAAAGATTGAAGAATTAAATTAACTTGAAGATAATGGCAAAAGTGATTTACTTATTACTTTATAGAAAATTTTATGGTTACGATACCTTAAATGTATTTAGTGTAATCAAAATTTTGATCTTTTAATCATCTTTAATCGGAATAATGTTTTTTTATGATTCTAATATCCCAAATTTTTTGTCTTAACTATTTATTGATATTGGTAATCTTTTTAGCGATAGATTAAGGATTTTTGAGTGTTTTTTAGTTTAGATGCTGCAAGAAATTAGTATAATTTTTAAAGGTATTTACTTCTTATTAGTGATAAATATTTTAAATATGCTTTGCTTGGTGCTTTATTACAACTTTATTTTTTTAAAATCTAACTGCAAAAAATATTTAAATGATATTATACTTTCTACAAGTATATTTGCTTACTATTCAATAAATGCACTATTCTCCAAAATCTTTAGATCTGTAAGTTTTTATTTAAATTAAAATAAAATAAATATTTTAATACTCTTTTTTTTAAGTTAAATTGCTAGGTGTTTGACAACTAACATTTTGTAACTGAGTATTTATCTATTTCATGTAATGAATTATAAAATAATAATTCATATAACTTGATAGCTTTAGCATTAGTAGTTATAGCTTTACTAATATTTTATGGATATTTTGTGCTTAAAATCTACTAAAGGAGATATATGATAAAAACTTATCAAAATTAGATTTTATTTGGATTCTTTACATATGAATATAAATAATA